GCTGCTTGCAGAGAAGAATGGATGGACAGAGGAGCAGAAAACAGTATATCTGGCAACGAGCTTGAATGGACAACCACTGGAAATACTTGGACAGTTGTCAGCAGACGACAGACACAACTATAGAGCACTAGTAGCGGCTCTAGAACTCAGGTACGGAACCCAAAATCAGTCGGAAGTCTACAGGGCTAGGTTTAGGACGAGAATCCGTGCTAAAGGGGAGAGCCTGCAAGAACTGGCACAGGACTTGGAAAGCATGGCACACAAGGCCTACCCAACTGCACCACCCGATCTCCTCAAGTTGTTGCTGAGGGATCAGTTCGTAGATGCCTTGGACAGTCCACAACTTAAGATACAAAGGAAGCAAGTACACCCCTCTACCATGCAGGATGCAATAGCCAGAGCTCTCGAATTTGAATCCTACGTTAAGTCCAGCACAGAGGTACCGAGGTTGGTACAGTCATCTGGATTCAAGGCCAGAAAAGGTCAGCTTTCAGAGAGGTTTGAGGGACTTTGCTGGCACTGTAACAAACCTGGGCACAATAGAGCTCAATGCTGGCAACTTCAACACAGGGGAGATGATACAGTAGTAAAGGCTGCTACCCAGAGAGGTTGTTGGAACTGTGGAAAGCAAGGACATATGAGGAGCCAGTGTAAGAAGAATATTACCAATAAGTTAGCTTCGGAAAACCAAGTAGTGGTTGGTGCTGAGGGACGCCCACCAACCCCCATTGTGAAAGTCCCAACAGTTAAGTGTAAAATGGCAAGCACACATAGTATCTACGTGACAGGAAAGCTGGATGGCCAAAAGTGCAACTTTGTCATAGATTCTGCATCTCGGCAAACCCTTGTGAGTATCAAGGTGCTGGATCCCAAAGGAGTACCAGAAGTCATACAGAAGCTCTGTGGTGTGACAGGACAATATGCAAGGTTGTGGGGACCAGTGTGGGTAATTATTGAGCTTATGGGCATGAAGGACAGACACAAAGTATACATGGCTGACATTGAAGACCAATGCATACTAGGGTTGGACTTCTTACTACCGAGGAAGTGTGTAGTTAACTTCGATAAAATGACGTTTGGGAAAAACAAAGGCTAACTTCCGGTAAGTGTTGCTGCATCTGTTTTGCATGTCAACTACAATACTCCCTATGTCGGAGAAGATAATTTGGAGTAGAATAAAAGAACATCCCCAAGGAAGAACAATGCTTGTGAAAGCAATGAAAGCCCCATCCAGGCCAGTGGATGTGAAGATTGGAAGGTCATTTGTGGCAGGTCATCAAATAGTACACATAACAGTGGCCAATTTCTCTAAATGTGAGCAGACACTTAAGGAAGAGGCATTGTTGGGTGTGTGCCTGGAGGTAGAGCCAGTCAATGTTAAGGCAAGACATACAACCATAAAGAAAGGGCATCCTCTCCCAGAACATTTATATGACCTTTATGATAAGAGCATAGACCATTTGTCATCATCACAGGCTCTTCAAGTTAGGGAACTTTTGGCTAATTATGCAGACGTCTTTTCGAAAGGAGATCATGACCTCGGCTGCACAGACCTTGAAGAGCACAGAATAAACACAGACAATCACTGTCCAATAAAGATCCTTCCGAGGAGAATAGCTCCGGTACAGTGCCAAGAGATGGAGAAGGTCATGGATGGCCTAATTAAGGAAGGTATAGTCGAGAAATCATATAGTCCCTGGTCAGCTCCCGTCGTGTTAGTCCAGAAGAAGAATGGGACCCAACGTTGCTGTGTGGACTTCAGGGCTCTTAACAGTATAACCGAAAAGGACTCGTATCCACTGCCAAGAATTGATGATACTCTTGATGCCATAAGTGGAACCAAGTGGTTTTTAACTCTGGATTTAAAGTCGGGTTTCCATCAAGTGAAAAAGGCTGAAGCAGATAAACCTAAGACTGCATTTAGTTATGGCTAAGGTCTCTGGCAATACTGTGTGATACCATTCGGACTTAGCAATTCTCCAGCAACATTTGAGAGGCTGATGGAAAGAGTACTGGAAGGCCTACAATGGAGGATAGCCCTAGTGTACCTGGATGATGTCATTGTGTTTGCAACAAAGTTTGATGAGGAAGTATCCCGGCTAGAGGAAGTATTCAAGCGTTTGAAAGCAGCAAACCTCAAACTCCATCCCAAGAAATGCCACTTGTTCCAGTAAGAGGTGCTTTACTTGGGTCACATTGTAAGTGAGCATGGTGTGCAAACTGATCCTGACAAAGGTGAAAGCAGTGCGTGATTGGCCAACACCAGACAATGTGGGAGAGGTAAGAAGTTTCTTGGGACTCTGTACCTATTACCGGAAGTTTTTGAAGGACTTTGCAACTATAGCTGCTCCACTACATGATTTGACAAAAAAAAAGGCCAAATGTTCGATT